AATAAAGATCTTTATGTTTGCAATCTGAATAAAAGGCAAGGCTGAGAACTGGGGAGATCAAGCAGTGCTGCTCGGTGTGGCCAGCAGCATTGTTGGTGTAATGACTCTGTAAGCACTGGCTGGCTTTTGTTGTTTTGCTAGCAAAAACCAAACCTGAAGCACAACAGTTATGTCGTTTTCTAGCTTGGCTGAGGGTGAGATTTTTGTGACCAGCTTCAGCTGGTCTGGAGTTGTTCTGCTGCAGAGTGGGATGTTCCCACCTGCTCGTCCTTGCTGGTACTGGTGTGCATGGCTGGGGATCAGCTTGCTGCTTTGTGTTCAGGTGGGTTTTCTCGCAGGGTTGGTTTTCACCAAAGGCAGAGATATGATCCAGCTGATCTTGCAGCTGCCTGAGCACTAGTTGGCTGTCACAAGGGTGGTGAGACTGGGTGGGTGAGGAAGAGGCATGTGGGTTCTCAAACGTTGGCTTAAGCCAATTGTGAAGCTTCATTGTGATGGATTCTCTCTCAGTGACTCTATTTTTAGCAAGGCAGTGTGTTTATCTTGGGTTTCTTTCAAATGTTAGTATGAATGACAAGAATGTGCCTGTGATTTCTGAGAGCTGTATATGAAGAGCTAGAGTGCAAAGCATATCATGAATGCTTCTTGCATGAAGGATAAGCTGTCTTGTAAGCATGTTCTTTGTGCCTTGGAAACCTTACGTCCATCCTGCTTGTGTAATAACAACCTGATGTAGCTCATGGTGGCACGCTTTGGTTTTGTTCTGACTGATTTGTACAATCAGCTGAAAAATAGGACTGCTGCCTATGTGCAGGGGCAGCAGTGGAGGACACAACAGAGTCTACATGCTACCTTGAAATGGCATTTCATAGACCTGTTTTTTAATCTTGCTGTATAAAGTCAATGCTTCCAGTTAAAGGTGAATGGGAGCGGTGTTTCATAGAATGGTTTGGGTTGGAAGGGACCTCAAAGATCATCCAGTTCCAACCCCCCTGCCATCAGCAGGGACACCTTCCACTAGACCAGGTTGCTCAAAGCCTCATCCAGCCTGGCCTTAAACATTATATTAATGAATTGGTAGCTTTGTTGTTTTTTATTGTTTGGTTTGGTTTGTATTTTTTCCTAAACTGTTGTCTTCAGAAGGCAGGTCAAAAAATGGAAGTAGACTTGATGGAAGAGCTGGCTGGCCATTCTGCTCTCAGTGTTGTGTATAGGAGAATTTAACAGTTCAGACTCTGGTCCTCAGATAATCAATTCCCTACCATAGTCATTACTTTTGGCAAGTTGATTAATGTAGTTCTTTAGTCAATGAAGTGGACCAGTTTCTTGATTAACTTGGTGGTAAGCAGTTTGAGAAGAGGACAGCCACACAGGAATTGTATGGGAACCATTTGCCAAAATGACTTCTTGCCACTTCTGCCAACCGAAAGAAAAATAAGCATACAGCTAATAATCTCATGGGGTGTGAAAAGTAGGGCCAGATCATGAAGCTTCATGGCTATGACAACTGTAGTATCTAGCCGTGCCTGTCTGCCTTGATCTTCTAGTGATAGCACTGTTGCAAGCTGTACATCTGATTTTTTTTTAAAAAAAAAAAAAAAAAAAGAAAAAAAGAGGCAAGATGTATTTCTCTGTCATGTCATCCAGCCTGTTGCTTTGTTAGAACAAGGTTGTTCAGCAGTCAACACGATAGCTGAGTCTGCTCCATTTCTCACAGATGACCTGTGCTCCTTGGACTTCTGTCAGATGGCCAAAGCAATCCTGGTTTGGCAAATCCTGGATGTCAAGTTATTTGGCACGCTAATGGCTGTCATGCATATGTTTTACTATCAGGAAGAACTGAATTATGTGCAAAGTTTAAAATCAAGGGACAAATATACACAGTTCACTGTTTGGGGTTTGGAAGTTTACTGTGTCCAGGAAGAGTTTTTGGGACTTTTAAAATTTCTATATAATGAGTAGTGGGAAAATAAGTTCTTATTCCTGCTTAAGATAAAGAGAAAAAATAATGTGTAGTTCAGCTATCAGGACTCTGTCAAGACTCTTAGGGTTCAGGCTTCTTTGGAGTTACTTGCAGATGTACTTATTTCGAGTAGTGAAGGTACCAGTTTGCTTGGAAGAAATAGGCCAATTTGTGTTTTGTTTTTTTTTCCTTTGGATTTATGTCATTGTGTGCTGTGGTTTTGGCTACACTTGTCTAAAAGCAGTCGGGTATTTTCTACTTTATTTACTGTAGAGTTTTTAATAAAAACTTTAATTAAAACGGTATTCAAGTTTTCTGCTTTCTTAGCTGAGTGCCTGTCCTGCTTTGTAACATTACTCCCTTTTTGGCTTTAGAAGTGTCTTAACAACTGTTTGGCTTCTCCTGCCTTCTGTTTGCTGGATTTACAAGGAAGTTTTCTTGGCAATTGGTGGTGCAGCTTGCAAGTGTGAGCTTCTGGCTTCCTGTTGTGCCCCAGGTGATGCAAGAGTCCAACCATAATAAGCACAGTCCTTGCTTATTTTATTTTAGGAGGGTGGTGGTTGTTTTTAAACTACCCAGTGTGCCATGTTCCTCACCAAGCAAGAGGAGAAATTACTGCTTAGAACTTTACAGCTGAATCTACAGAGCCAGTCCTTTAACTGTGTGAAGTTTCTTGCCCTAAGAGCAGCTGCTGTTCTGGTTATGGTAATAACTGGAGGAGAAAAGTGAGGAAATGACAAAGCAATTCAAGGGCTGACAATGGATTAGAGTGGGGTACAAGCAGGTGAAAGCACTGCAAGAAATATGTCCTGTTGCTGCTTCTGAAAACATCTTAATTTGGAAACTTGTTATATGAAAATTATGTTGAGGTTAAAGATCTAGGGCAGAAGTGTGAGGGTCTGATACTTCAGTGTGGTGTGTTTCCAAGTTCTTTACCTTTTCAGCCCAATTTAGAGTTTAGCTAAAGGAATTTTGCATTAGAGTAAGTTTTTATTAATCTTGTATCAAACACTGATATATGACAGTGGTGTCTGACTGGAGAATGTGAAGGGGTTTTAATTTCAGTCCTCATACCTGTTGAGATGTTCTTCAAAGTGTGAATCTCTTGGAATTGAAGCAGGATTTTCCTCAGTCTGGATGTCTTTTCCTAATTAGCACTTCTAGTGTCAACTTGAGGACCTGCAGAGGACACCTGCAACCCTTAATCTCAGGTTCTTTAACTGCTGATTTGGTGTGGTTTTTTTCAGTAGTTGAAGGAAGATAGCGGAGGGAATTGAGTGTTTCTGCTGGAAGGAGGTACTGAGGAGGAAAAGAGGACACGCACTCACCGGCGAAGGACGAGAGAGGATGAGAGGAGAGGGGATTACTGCTCTTGATCCTGCAGTGCAGGTGTTAATTTTCAGGGAGGTCGTTAAGGCAGAGGGGCTGTGTGCATCATGTTTTCACCAGCTCTCTGGGGCAGGGAACTGCATTGTAAGGCATGGGAGAAGTGAGGAGTGCCTCCCTCCTACTCAGCTGCTGTTGCCTGACCCCACACCTACATGCAAAATAAAGAACTAAACATGAAAACTCAGTCCCTGGGGGAACAGTCCTCTCTTTGTGCAAGTCTGCTGCCTACAGAGGAAGATCAGTTGTGGGCTGAAGGTGATGCATAATTCTAATGGCAGTGAATGGATTTCAGCTTCCTCTGCAGAACGAGTTCAACATACCATACTTTATCAGGTTTTGATTTGACGTTAATATTCTGCTAGTTCAGTACATCAAGAATAATAGATATGCTGCTAAATTTTCTTGGTGGGTTTTTTTACATTTATTAAAGGGCAGATCTACAGTCTGAGAGCTCACCAAAAGCAACTTGTGTGTATAACTTCTCTCTGAGAACCTCTAGACTTCTCTTATGTCCTTCTAGAAATGTCTGAGAGAGGAGTTCAGAACAATTTCCTTGAGGTGTGTATTTCTGGAGTTGCATTGAGTTTTCTTTTTTGTTGTTGTCTTCTCCATCTTCAGTTCCCTTCCAGAGGCCTTGAGACAACCTTCTTTGGCTATAGAAGGAACAAAGTTAAGGGGTGGGCTGGGGGGGGTGGGGTGGAATTTAATTATAATACTGGGCTGTGATTCTACATCACTTTCCTTAGTGCCAAGTCATCTTTAGATCCTTCATTTCCTTGTGTCTCACTCGTGTTCTCTCACAGGGCTTTGTCCCCTCTTATACCTATTTGAATGTTAGTGCAGCTGCCCCCTGAGCAGTGTCTGAGGAATGATCTGGTACAAGAGCCTCCTAAATGAAGGTGCACTTTGGCAGGGGATGTAAACCTTTGTTCTGGTTTACACTGTGTAACCCTGTGGTTGTGTGTGTTTGAACTGACATAACTCTGGTTACAATGTCTGTTTGAAGAGTTGTAAGGCTTTATAACTGAATTTTCTGCCAAGGGGACAGTGACATAGAGCTCCAACCTCTAGTCTTTTTGCAGGATGAGGTACGTAGCTAGATATCTTTTTTGGATGCTTGCACTGGCAGTACTAATTTTAGTTACTATTCTGTGTGTATCACCAGAAAATAAACTCCAATTATATGTCAGTTTGCCAAAGCCAAAATGTCACTGTAAGTATATCTGGAAGGCAGGAGACTTGTGCTAAGTCCCCTGGGGCTTACTGGCTGTTTTGAGGTGAGTGTCTGTCTCACTGTGGTACAGGGAAACTGAAAAACAATACTGATATGTCACAGTATCGAGCAGGGAAAAGAGTTTTAGATTCAAGGGTTTTGTTAAATGGGAAACCTCCCATGACAAATTTGTCTCCTCTCTCTTCCAGTGCAGCAAAAACCAAATTGGATGATTGAAATAAAACCCACTGTAATTAAAGTAGTTTACTTGTTTTAAGAAGGAATTTATGCATTTTTCAGCCATACTTGCAGTATTTGTGGATTTCAACTTGAAAATAATGTCATTTCAAAATAAGGAGGATATTTGACTACCTTGTTTTTCTTATCTGTTCAATGATGACTTACATCTCCTGTTTTTTTCCCCCCAATCCCCAGTTATTTGTAGTAGATGTCCAGACTGGTCAGATTACCAAGATTCCCATTCTGAAAGATCGTGAACCTGGCATGGTGAACCAGCAGGGATGTGGCATTCATGCCATTGAGCTCAACCCCTCCAGGACCCTTCTGGCCACAGGTGGAGACAACCCCAACAGTCTTGCAGTTTATCGTCTGCCTACGCTCGATCCTGTCTGTGTGGGAGATGTAAGTGGGAGTATTCAGGGAAGGTTTATTCTGTCACTTACAAGAATTACTACTTTGAAGCGCATAATGTCAGAGCAAGGTTAAGATTTGGGAGTCTTGTACTAGAGAGTGAATTTCAGAAAGCTTGAAAACATTCCCAATTAAGTTGTCTTTTTTGACAAGATGTCTTAAATATGAATGAGTACATAAACATGTGAGATGATTCTCAGGGTTCTGAGTCAAATTTCTTACTCCTCACCCTCATTCAAGTCTACTTCAGATTACTTTCAAGCACTGAAAATGTAACAAAATCCTAAATGTTAAGGTCTAATTTGGTGATGATCTCTGAAACTAGTTTTGGTGATAAATCTTTTTTGAGAAATTGAAAAGATGATACAAGCAGCTCAAATTTTCCCCTTCTTCGGTGCATCCTATGTATGTGTTATTCCAGAGGTGGAACTTGGTTTTTAGGATTAGTTCTAACCCAGTGGTTTATGGCAGTTTGATAGAGTCTGCTAACTGCTTATATTTCTGAAACACCATGAGGCTTTTTTAAAACAGCCAGTCTTAAAAAGAAAGAAGGCTGAAATGGGTATAGTGGTGTCCTGTAAGCACTTCTCTCCCATTTCTCATTTTTGATTCAGTACCTCACAGAGGCGTTAACTGCAGCAGCAGAAGTCAGGTCAGGGTTTCTGCAGTAGCAGATAACCAGCTGCAGAAACACTCAGCTCTGGAGATTGGTATGACTTGCTATTCATTTGCATGCTGCTGTGACTCTGCAGCTTTTCAGACAGAACTTAACGGTCTTTTTTTTCCCCTATAGGTTTCTCACTTGCTAAAGAAATATCCTTGAACTAATAGTCTTGAAAAATTAATCTGTGCATTGTATATTGTAACCTTAATGTTTTGATTACTTCTTATAATAGGCATATGAGGAAATAAAAGTATGTAGCTACTTTACAGAGGTAAAGAATGCTGCTTCCAAAATGGAAAAGTCCTTAGAATTGAGATCAATTTGTCCTTGGTCAGAGTCCTGTTTTTCCATCACCTAATTGCTCTCTGTTAATTATACATTTCAAAATTTAAAAAAAGTTAAAATTACTGTTAGGTACTTAAACTGCTCCAGCTTGATACCAGAATCTTACCTGTATGTTTTTAATGTAGGTCTGTCCTTCTGAGTTTGTACTAAAAATCAAAGCAAAGAATACTTAGAATCATAGAATGGTTTGGGTTGGAAGGGACCTTAAAGCTCATCCAGTTCCAACCCCCCTGCCATCAGCAGGGACACCTTCCACTAGACCAGGTTGCTCAAAGCCTCATCCAGCCTGGCCTTGAACACTTCCAGGGATCTCCTTGTCCTAAGCTCCTTACTTAGGCTCCTTGTCTGCTTTGAGACTGCTCTAGGGTATAATGGCACAGAAAACAATGTCTTTTTTTCTTTCAGGATGGACATAAGGATTGGATATTTTCAATTGCATGGATCAGTGACACTATGGCTGTTTCTGGTAAAGTATTTTTTTTTTCTCTCTCCTTGTTGTGGCAGGTTTTTTTTGTCTAGAATTTTATACTGCTGTACAGCACTTCATAGGTCTTAGAGAAGCACCTTTATCAGGGCGTTTGAAACCACTTGGAACTACCACTTGGAACTAAACCTTCTTGGTCTTAGCAGAGTGCTTCACTTCATTTTGTTTGTGGGCCTCTGATCTAGATTCGATTTTTCTAGTATCAGAGGGAATATTACTGTCTTTCCAGTAGATGTTGCCATGAGAGGATCTCTAAATACAATGGATTTCAGGGAAGGATTCCACACAGAAAGAACTAATTTGAAGAGGGGTGTTGGTTATCAGAACAATATCATTTTCCTGAAATTGTATAAAAAACTAATTAATGAAAACTCAAGTTTTTGTGTGTGTGTGTGTGTGTATATATATATGTATATGCACATATACTATGGCAGTTAATACAGAAGGCTGCGATAGAAAAGGTTAGTTATTGACTTATTAGTAACCAGTTGGACAATCAGTGTAACTTCATAAAGTATCATTTACTTAGGTAAAGGCAGCAATACCAATATGCTGTTGCTGCATTAATGTAGTTTACTGTCTTTCTGGGCTGACAGGGTGTAGTGTTCTGTACAGGGAGGTACAGTTAAACTGCAGATGACATAAAATTGTAACAGTCTCATAGAAAAATAAAATTCTTGAATTGTTAGTTCAGACATTTCCCCCCCCCCCCCAAAAAAAAAAAAAAAAAAAAAAAGGCTAGTCCTGGAATTTTATTTTGAAATTAATGTAAAACTTGATCCTTGCAAGTCTCCGACCCAAGTATCTGTATTAAAAAAAACGTTGTTGGCTGGTAAATTTGAAGAGAACAGCAGAGATGATTACAGGTATCCAAGGGAACCACAAGGACCCAGTGGAATAGAGAGACAGCATGTGAGATTGAACTGCGTTGCTCTCAGTGTTTTCTGACTGTTCAAAGATGGAGGTGTGAGTAGGAGACTGCCTTGTCCTCTGTTGTGTGATGCTTACAGCAGGTTGTAGGTTCTAATCTCCAGACCTGAGACATCAGGGAAAACTTGTTGAAGGCAATTAGCAAATCTGATTGCTGAACTGAGTTCTTCAGAACTTTACTGATGATCCTTATCGGGAGAAAACAAAGACAACTAACTCCTCACATTGTTTGAATCTTAGATTTCAATTACATCTGCATCTGAGTGTGGAGCTGAAATATTTGGACATTGAGGCTATAGCAAATACCTTCATCTGAATAAGGAAACTAAATGCAATTTTTTTGTGACTTTCTTGGGGCAGGTTACATGCCACTGGAAGAAAAAAGGGTATTTGGTCCCATAGCAGATCACACTGATCATACTGCCTGAGGTCTGAGATTTGTCAGTATATATTCTCACTGCCATCAAAACTGTTGAGAGAGTACAAAGAGAACCAGGGACTCGATTATTCCTCTTGCTTATGTTAATTTCAACAAGAACAAGGCAGGGCTGTGCTTCTAAAACCTTCAGCAAGTATATTTCAGTAGCAAAAAATTAATCTCTTGATAAGCAGCTATAGCTGAGTGAGAATGCATCAGTTCACTCAGTTGTACTGGCTGGATGAAAAGATTTCCATGGCAAAAGCTTCAGATGGGATGAATAATTCCCAGGAGGGCATGAGCCTAGGGTAACAGATTGTGGTGTCCTTGGCTTCAGGGCTAACCAGTTGAACAACATACACTGGCTTCCCCTGCTTGGGCTATTAAAAGGGACAGCTTCCTCCTAAAGTATGTCAAGATGTTTAGAAATCCTACTGCTGAGTATTCAGCCTCCATAACAAACAACATTAGGTGCCATTAAAAACCATCATCATGTAAATTGACTGGCAGGTGGTATTGTCATGTGCTGTCTGCTGCTATGCAGTGCCATTAGGAAGCTCCTTTTGTATTTGGCAGTAGTAGGTGATGATGGGAAATGACTGAATCCATCTGTGAGGAGGCAAAGCCATCTCTGCAGTGTTGAACCAGCCCTATTGCAACAAGATGTTTTGTTTAACTGTCTTTGCAGTTTATTCCCTGTGATGTACAGAAGCCTATAAAATTAATAGTCTGATTTTTTTCTGGCATCTTCAAGACATGAAATATTTCTTATGCATTCCCTGTGAGAGAAGGAGGGATGTGTTTTTCTCAGTGTGT